GCGCTTGTCGAGAACGAGGAATTCTAGTGCCACGATACATTGAGACCCTGCCCAATGTACTCATCACTGGACTATTCCCGTGCAACCGCGTCCACAACTGTCCTCTCAGGCTGGTCCCACACCTTCACGAACAACACCTCGATTACCTGCAACCCGAGAAGCTGGGAATGTCAGCGGCGGAGGCGCAACAAGCCCACGCTGAGTCCATAAGGCGCTGTGGCGACCACGACTGCGACGTTTCGCAACCACGCGGTGGGAGAATGGACCACCTCCACTGGCCAAAAAACTAGGTTGGTGGGAGGATCAGGGGCACCTATACCACCGAAAGTACGCCCCTAGGAGACGCCAGCGCTGGAAGATCAGCAAAAAAGGCGTACATCTGGTTAGAACCAGAGAGGAAAGACGGAAGCTGAAACTCGAAGTGAATGCGGCCATGAGGTCTAACGCCAGGGCCATATTCCTCGGGGGAATGCTTGAAGATCAGGAGGTTAGTATCCTGATAGACTCGGGATGTACAGGAAATTTGGTACACACACGAGTGGCGGAAAAACTGCAAGACTGGAAAGTTCCAAGACCGGAATCCGACATCATTACAGGATTCGACGGCACCATCATGACCAGACTCACACATGAGCTGAAATCGGTGCGACTAACGATCGACGACCATCAAGAGAGATTGGACCTTGACATCATGGACATGAAATATGATATGGTTCTTGGAATGCCATGGCTGAAATACCACAACCCTGTTATCGACTGGGCGAAGTCTCAGGTGCGGTTCGATAACTGTGATCACAACAACGGAACCCCAGAAATAGAGATGGGGGCAGCACAAACCCATGCAAAGAAAACGGTTTGGGTGCGACCGGCGCGGGTTTTCGACAATGCAACTGTGGAATGTCCACCACAGTACGAACACTTAAAGTCAGTGTTCGAGAAGAAGGTAGGAACTGATGCACTACCAGAACACAAGCCATGGGACCACGAGATACACCTACAGGAAGGAAAACAACCCACATTTGGACCCCTGTACTCCTTATCGGAAAAGGAACAAGTCGCCTTACGAGAATATCTCGAAGAGAACATAGCAAAGGGCTATATTCGACCATCGGAATCGGAAGCGGGATACCCGATCCTGTTCGCTCCAAAGAAAGATGGGAAACTCCGATTATGTGTGGACTACCGGAAGCTCAACGACATCACCATCAAGAATGTCTATCCGTTACCACGGATTGACGAGCTGCAAGACCGACTAAGAGGAGCCAAATA